CACACACACACACACACACACACACACACACACACACACACACACACACACACACACACACACTCACACACACACACAGAGTGGCCGCTAAGAAAAATAATTAAACTTGTAAAATTGATATTTATCGAGATATTTGCAAAAAACTGAAATTTGGGCCCTATTTGTTTAATTATTTTTCTTAGCGGCCACTGTGTACAATGGTAAACTTTTTTCTTTTTCGATTTTATGTAAAAATAAAGGTCCGTGCAAAAATTCATCCTGATGATAATTTTTCCGAGGTCCGTCTAATTTTCGCCTAAAGTAACTGTTCTATACTCCTGCGCGCGCATTTTTATATGGAAAAGGTGCATAAAAATCGCAAGTAAACCTGTTTTATTATACTTGTGTGTGTGCTTACAGGCGCGCGTGCGCACCAATAGTACGTTTGATTTTAATTTTTTTTATCAGAATTTACTCGAAATGAACGACGTGATAGTATCTAGCGGCTCTTGAATATCCTTGGATTATACTGCAATTTTATGTATTCTGGAAAATTCTTGGAAAACTGAAAATTCAGGGCCTGAAATTTATCATTTTTTCAGTCTGAAAAAAGTCAGAGAATAAAAAAGAAAGAAAAAATAAAAAGAAAAGTTGTGTTTGAGTATAAATCCCCTCTTAAAAATGCAATAAGTTATCAGAAAATTTGAATTAAATGTCTAAAATAGAACATAGTAATATAAAAACCGTTTGTGCTGACGGAATGTTCTTTTAATATTATTTATAAAGCAATAAATAATATTGTTGCCAATTTGTTAGCGTTTTAATTCATTTGTATAAAATCTTAACTTGAATACAAAGCATATAATATTGCATGAATCGATGAAAATTAATTAAACAATGAAAATTAACCAAGATTTTTACCTGCAATGTTCTTGAATTATCTTTGAATTGACTAACCAGATCTTGCTGGTTAGTCAATTCAAAGATAATTCACCATGAACGTGGACGTGATAGACGTTTCATTCCTTTGAGATATTTGATTTTCATGAGACCCCTTGCCTTTCACGTTTGGGATGCACAAAGAAAACAAAGCGAAGAGAAAAAGAATTTTTTATCCTATGTTGCTATCGCACTTGAGCGTGCACTAGATATTTTTAAACACGGTTCTTTACGCTCGGAAACAAGCATTCGGATCGTGATAATCAAGCGTAAAATGTATCAATATTGAAAAATAAATTTTTTACAAAGAAATTAATTATTTCACATTTTCTTTATTTAAATACTTTCAAATGCTTTGATTTTCTTGTATCCAATAATTTATTTGCTTGTTAAAAAATAGTTACACAAACAAATTCAATTTCTTTAAAGGTGTATAATTTATTTTGTCCAGTACTGTATATATTAAAAGATTGAGTATGTGCACCCCCTAACTGCGATGATTATTCATACTTAAGTTTGAGTATATACGGTATAAACATTTAAAATTTATTCTCAACACTTCTAAATATGTGACACTTAATAAATGAACCTTAACCGGCTTAAACCTTTGAGAGTCTTCAAAATTCAGTGTAAGAATCACTTGAGTGTTTTTATAATTGAGTATTTTTATAATTGAGTATATTAACGTTAAGATGTTGAATATGAACGCTACAGATTTATTTATGAAAGAAATATATTTTAAAAGTGAGTTTAATTAAAGTTTAATTTAAAGTGAAACTTTTTTTGATAATATCTATTGACCAGATATGTTATAGCTATATATTCATTAATGTTAAGAATTTATGGATCATCGAAGTAGCAGTTCTCATATGATTGCAGAGATTCAGCACCGTTAGATGGGATGCAAGATTGGATGGGTGATTAGTTAGGAAAATAAAGAAATTATTTCTCAAATAAGGAGGAAAGCGGTTTTTTTTCAATTATAATTTTGTCATATGTATTATGGAATATGATGAAAATCAATAATACGTACTTCAGCAATAAAATAAAATTAACTAATTTTATAGAATAAATAACACTCAATTTAAAGAGTATAAACAATTTTAAAAGTAATACTCAAGTTAACTCTCAAGATGAGAATAATAATACTCAAGTTCAGCATTTAAAATAACTCTAAATAATGTAATCACTCAAATTTTGAGTTTTTTCATAAAGGCTGATTATGAATATCGCAATTAAAACGCAATTCATGTAATATTTTAGCCGTAATTTCAGCATCCGGCAAAGCCGGATTTTCCAAATTAATTTTTGAAATTTTTTTAATAATAAAATTATGTATATAGTATATTACACCTTAATTGCACTGTAATACACATCGGGTACGTGGAATATCAGAATAAATTTTTAGTTTACCTTTTTTCTAAAAAAAATCGCTTTGTATGAACCTTCAGGAATCTTTTCTGATTACGAATATCGCAATTAAAATGCGATTCATTCAGTATTTTCAGTCGTAATTTCAGCATAAAGAAATTCGTTTTTAACCAGAGGTCTCTATAGTCTCTCCTGTCAACTCTTAAGGGGATCCTAAAGTAAAGCTCGAATTCCGATGAGATTTACCAATAAAATGTGACATATCTTTATATACTACTACATCAATATCACATTCACATATATGTACAAATTTTCTAACTAATCTTTCGTATTAAGTATCTAAACCTAAGGCTGCATTTGGAAACGCGTTTGAAGGATTAAAGTATACGCATTAATACTTGTCTGTGAGATGGAGTTTATGCCGAGAACGACAAAAAATTTCGAAATTGATATATTTTTTTATCATTTCTTATTGTTAGTATAACATGGCGTCTCAAGCTATCAAGTCGCGACAACAGTTGCTTGATACGAAAGTTTTTTGCAACTTGTACTTACGAAATAGTAATCCACGTAGTGGATTTGCACAAACAAATAACGTCGAGTTCTTAGAAGTAGATTTAAACGCTTCATCGTGACGAATTTATTGTGAAAACTGACACAAACGTGCAACTGTGCATCATAGGTGCGTGAGATATTGGTGTGGTAGTATATATAGATATGTCGATGCGCTTAGAGACCCCCTAGAGTCTGGCCACCTGAAGTCACCATTTTTTGTATCGAAATTGTATGAGAGAAAAAAATCGTGCTATTTCACTCTACAGTGGCGCTGTAAGTTATAAGTTTCATAGTTTTTGATGAACATTTTGGCACGTTCAGGCGACTAATTGGTGATTAAAATTTGAAAAACGTAAAAATTTAGTAGTGTCTAATCATAAATATTACGACAGCAAGTTCATGGCCATGCATTTAAAATAAAAACATATGTGTATTTCCATTATGCATTTAAATGGAATAGATGAAAATGTCGAACCAATCACAAATTGGGGAGAAGATCGCCAGACTCTGAGAGGATCTCTAGATGCGCTGGAAAAACAGCGACCTCTGGTGAGATCCGACTTCGTCGGAGTTCGAGCTTTACTTTAGGATCCCTTTAAGAGTGTCCTACTCTGCTTAAAAGAATAAAGAATAGAACTGTATCAGATATTATACAAAATTTGACAACTATATCATAACCGATACAGTTGTATACAGTTATGTCCGAAGCGCTGGCGAGACTTTATAACATTTCTATTATAACTAATAAAATTGTATTTTTTTTACTTCTTATATATACGAATGTTATGATTTAACATTGACAGTTTGTATCTTGATCAACATAATTTTAATTATACGTTTTATCTGTTTCAATTAAAAAAAAGAATTAATAGAATTTTACTTAAAATACAATCAATACATTTTAATAGCGAATATTAATATGAAAACATTCAAATCTGATCCAAT